ATGTAGTAAAGATTCCTTCATATTTTTATATCTGGATAAGATATAAAAATACCAGAGAAATTAATTTGTTTCTTCACAAAGCCATCTAAATGGACTTTTTATGCAGAACTCTGTATTAGTAAGGAAGACAGGTTTTCCTTAAATAAGCCAACCAGTTTAATCATACTGCATTCCTAAACAGCCACTACCTTTCAGCAGCAGTAGTAACAAGCTCAACAACACAAATTTTGATCCTCTTGATGTCTGTCTGTGACTCATTTTCCTCTTCAGGGACATCTGGATGGACTGGAGAAATGCATGATGAAGATCTGGAGATTGGCTCAGATCTAAGGTGATGTGCTTCCTCACAGCAGTGCAGGCTCAGTGCACACCAAAACAACATTCCTTCTACCTGTCACATGGAGGAAGATTTATGTTTTTCTCAAATTATGTATGAGATAAAATCTAGTGTCACTGTACTGATTCTATTAGGACACTCTTTAACACAGCCCAGATTTGGACTTTGATTCACTGGAGGCAGGTGCTTGAGGAATTTCCATAGGTCTGTTCCTGTGTTTGAGGTTAACTGTGAGCTTTAAACAGATTGTTGAATTTAGGCTTATCCATTTAGGGATACCCAATGCATATCAAGTTAAAGCTGTATTGTAAGAGACTCCAGGTCTGCTGGAACATAACAAACATAGGAACGAACTCTGCAGGGTGTATTACATACAAGTAAATACGTGGATTTTGGGAAGCATGGTATCAGGAAGAGATAGCCATAAAACAAAGAGAAAGAAAACCCTAAAACCAAGGGAAAGCAAATGAAAGTTCTCTGACTGTGCTCTTAACTACCATATTAGCTCAGATGAGAACTTACATTCACACTATTTACTAACAGGTGGCATTTGTTAGAAAATTGCAGTGCAACAGGGGGCAGAAAACAGGAAAATACTCAGTCTTCTTTGGAAGCGTTCTTTTCCATCCTTTTTGTTGTTTTTGTTGCTGTAGCTAATTTATATATTTGTTGTTATAAAGTAAGCCCAGTTAGTGAAAATTATTTTATGCTCTCTTGCTACTATACCAACAAAATGAAATCCAGTTCCTGCATGATGTGACATGTAAACCATTTGTGCCGAAGTGACTGCCAGAACTGGATGGAAAATTTTAGTCCTGAAGAAACACTCAAATAAAATGCTAGTGTAATCTAAAGTTATTCACTGACAGTAACTTCAGGATTTGTTGTGTCTTCTTTTTTTAATTTAGTCGAGTCTAGTATTCAACAACTTAGAGCAGGAGGTGAGAAAGTGATGCGTTTTCCTTTCTGATGTTCAGTAGATTTGAAAACAAGTGGTTTGCTTTTTTTTTAAAGAAAGACATAACACAATTTTGTTTGCATTTCTTGGGGGGAAAAAAAAAAACATCAGCAGTGCTGCCATCTGAAGTAAAGGACATATGTCTTCAAAGAAAGTATTATGAGTGTGTTAAAAACAACATTTTGCCAGTTTCACTCAGATTCTGATGCAGGTCAGGTTTTAAAAGCTGGACAACCTCAGCTCCACCTAGATGCTGCGATCAAAACTGTGTGCGCTTATCTCACAGCATTCTCGTGGGCCATGGTTCAGCTTAATTTCCTTTCTTTAAAGCAGTTAGAAGTCAACAAAACCAGATAGATGGCTTGTTTCTTTTTCATCATACAACTACAAATTTTCCAGACAGCCACCTGCTCCTTTGCTCAGAGACGGTTAGAACCAAGTGCAGTGGGAAAAACGTGACAGTCCATTAGCTTTTGCTATCGAACTCTAAAATTACACAGTCACATCAAACTGCCCCCTCTGTCCTGTGGAGCTTCTCTGTTATTACAAAGACTATTAAAAATTTCCCCAAGGGCCAAGACCAACACTTGGAAAAGAGTCTGGCCCTGTACAAAACCAACAGCGTGCCCTGTTACCCACCATCTGAGACACCCTGGCCTGGCCTCGTTCTTTCTAGTGCTTTTATTGCAGACCTGTAATCAGTTCTCAGACTGACCACAGCTGGAACTAGTGATCTCCATCCTGCCCCCCTAAGCCTGCATAACATTAGTTTGAATCTTTTATTCATTCACTGAGAGAAATATAAAGAGGTTTCTTTAAATGACAGCAATATACCCAGACGACTGATCTGCGAGAAGGATTCTGTGGAAATAGAATCATAGGGGTTGGAAGGGACCTCGAAAGATCATCTAGTCCAACCCCATAACTAACTGGCTGTAAGAGAGAAGGTGCTTTGAAGTGACCATTTGCACTACCCAGACTACTTGGGTTAGATCAGTTTTTACTGGATTACTTTCATGACAAGTCTTTTTTGTCTCATCAGAAGAGTTTCTTTGTGATCAGTGAATGAGGATGCATCTTGGGAATGATCTGATACTTCAAAAGATGATTCTTGCAGTTTATCTTGCAGTAAGCTTCTCTTCTGAAGGAAATGCTGCAGAGCCCTTTTATTGATCACAATGATAGCGTGTGCAATGTGCCTTTTATCACTGGGCTGTCTGCACTATCACTTTTCAATATAACTACAAAGCAAATCCGTGCAAGCTAGGACTTTTATTAGCTGATGTATTTGGAGATACATGTTGTCTTTTATTAAAAACTTCCCCCCCCCCCCCAAACACTTCAAAA